CCCCCCCCCCCCCCCCTCGGCTCGGCTCGCAGCCAGAGCACCCACCACCATCATCTCGAAACGCCCACGTATCTCTAGATGGCGATGCGTGCGTGCGTTTGTGTGTGCAGCAGTGGGCCCTGTATAATGCCGGTATGGTACCATGGATTTTACCGGCACTATGCCGGGGCACCGGCACTATTCAGAACAGGGACATACAGGACATAACAGTACAAGAATGGACGTGTCCTCCGATTTGAACGTCACTGTTCCGGACAGTGGCACTATTCATCTGGCCCAGTGCAGGGCCCGGTACTGTAGTACATGAAAAAAAAAAGGAAGAAGAAAAACATGTCTCACCCTCTTCTCGTCCCCGTAGCGCCACACCATCTCCCGGATCTCCGATTCATCGGCGTAGTTCACGACATCAGCGGCAGATATACCACCCCCGCTCCCCCGGCCATCGCCACCGTCGCCCCCCCCCGCCCTGCCGCCCTTCTCAACGGCTCGGTCCTCGTGCTTCGTCGATGTCGGCGCCACCCCTGGCAGGAGAAGGGAAGGGAGTTTTAGGGATAAGCATAAAGTATTGCAGGACGGGAGCGTTGGTGAAACTGTCTCGTGGGGAGGTGGTGGGGATTTGCAGCTGTTATGCATACATAGGGACAGGACGGGGAGCGGTAGGAAAACGTTTTGGGAGAACCGGCGGGTGACAGCAGCGGTGTCGATTCTGTGAGCTCTTGTGAAAACTACCGAACAAACCTATATGCACTCACAAAAAAAAACAACTACAGCAAACACACACACCACCACATACTTGCCGTGCGAGAGCGAAAAAACCCAAAATTCGGTGTCACACTAAAATTCCGAACCGGTGGAATAGCAACAACACAAACTATGTCCGAACCTCCGAACCAACTTCTTTCGCCCGCGGAGTCCCCGTCCCCGGTTCCCTCCATCCGCATGTCGAGGGGCCCGTCGGCCGAGAAACTGAACCCCCTGGCCCCGTCGTCGATCTGGTGGCTCGACACCCCCAGATCTACCAGTATTCCGTCGACCAGGGGGCCCGCAGATGTAGTACGTGGTGGTACCCCCGCTGCTGCCGCTGCTGCTGCGGCGGCTGGCGGTGTCATCGTCGCTGCTGTTACTGCTGCTGCTGCGGTCGTGTCCGATGATGCTCTCGACCTTGGTGATGCTGCCGCCGCTGCTGCTGCTGCCGCTGAACATTCTCGCTCTTGTTGTGCAGCTGCTTGCGGTGGTGGGGATGTAGGTGATTCCGCCTCTGGTACGAGGGGTGGCTGCTGAAGCAGCAGCTCGCACTCTCGAACCGCCTTACCGACGTCCGCGAAGTTGGAACGGACGGCTTGGAACCTCCCCGCCTCCGCCTGAGAAAAATGTCATACACATTCAAATGTACATCCATATTTGTTTAGACCACTGCTGTCCCGGACAAAAACAAAAAAGAACATGAATACTTCAGAACGTGACGGTCAAGAAGTTCAACCTAACAAACTCAAAACTCTTCTGAAGACCTTGAGCACCATTTACTCGTGAGCTCGGTTAAGTACCCCAACACTAAAACCTATATGAGCTGTCATTTCGAATAGCATGACCCTTTGATAGGAACTAAGAACCCCGACGTCGGTCGAAACAAATAATAGAGGTTCTTAAGTGTTAAGCGCTTTCTGTACAAAGTTCTGAGCAATCGAGGGTATGGTTTCAAAACAATCAATGATTGCTGCGGACGCAGTCGGCGGTGGTCCAAACAAAACGACAGGACGATCTGAGGTTCTGGCCAACGGCGGAATAGCAAGAACCGAACACGACACAAGATAACACACCCCCTGGACCGATTTTGAAAAGGTCGACAACGCCACGAAGAGGATGCCTAAACGAAACGATGCATTTTCGGAAAGCTTTCTCTCTCGACAAAACCGCTTCCATGCCGCCGCTTTCGGCGCTGCGACTCTCTCTGCTGCTGAGAAATCGAGCCTTGAATCGGTGCAGGGGGTGTGTCGTCTTGTGTCGCACACGGTGAAGCAGATGGCATCGAAACGACGCGTGTCGCTGGTTGCTTGATATCCACCCCGAGGAACGTTTCGTTGACCTTCATTTCATCCAATACCTTAACCTGCCGGGCTCATGATAGTCGTTAAGAGGGAAAAGACGGTACCAGCCACCAATGTATGTGCCACCATACACGCGTACAATATCTGGCAGGGCCTATCAGACTCCCATCGACAAAGAGAAAGAAAGGGGGAGGGTGGGGGGGTGGAGGGAGAGAGAAAGAGAGACAGACAGACAGACAGACAGACAGACAAGACAGACAGACAAACGTAGGGACAGACGCAGAGAGAGCCAGACGGCTGTTCACGAGCAATAGCAACAGCAGCAGCAGCAGCAGCAAAGGCAACAGCAACAGCAGCAACAACACACAGCAGGAAGTGACGAGTACCTCGGCCGTCAGTCGTGCGGAAGCCTCCCTCAGCGCATCAGGGTCCCGATCCAACCCGATCACCCTGGCCCTCGCACCCAGCGCCGACAAAAGCGCCGCGCTGTGCCCACCCCCCCCCAGGGTGCAGTCCACGTACACCCCGTCGGGCTTGGTGATCAGCCATTCCAGTACCTGTTTTCATGGAAAGGTGGGGTGCGTTTTTTTTGTATGCACGGGGATTCTCAGCCTCAGACGTGAAAAAAAAAAACATAAAAGACTCAAAATATGCCTAATTTCCAGCCGGTTTCAATCCACTCATTTTAGAGACTTGAGCACATCCCTTTCGACTGTAACATTATCTCGAACGGATAGTCTTTCACTGTCTCTTACGTATACTTTCTAAAAAAGGACACAGAGAAGAAGGGTTCGACGACCAAACAAACTTCGGTACATCCCACTCACAATTTTTTTTTTTTGTCGATACAGTATTCCCCTGGTCGGCTTATAGCTGATGCGGCAGCGGACAAGGATTCTCAACACTAGGCAAACACACACACTATAGAAGCATTTTGTGTTTCGTATCTTCATTGGTCAGCCGGTAAGCGCGGTCAAGCTAATCAGAACAAAAATACATATACACACACAGATGCAACACACAGAGAAGAGTTCGAGGACGGAATAAAATGACGGTAAATCCTGTCCTCGACAATGTATATTGCTTGTCTGTTTGATTTTTCCGCTGATAGACTGACACAAGCCAGAAGGCATGGCCGAAGCTGCTATACCGCCGATCGACGGGCAACACACACAATGGTACATCGTCGGCAAAGGTAGCAAGATCTACCACACAACATTTCACCTATTCGTTTGGAAAACTCAACCTTCGTCTTCAGCGGCGCTAGAGGGAACAACAATAGACTATCGCTCACGGCTCGTTTGTTCTGGTGGACTCGAGATCAGCGAAAGTACTGCTGCGCTTGGTTGTTGGTAATAGGGGTGAAAATGATTTCGAAAACATGCAAACATCATCGAAAACCGAGCGCTGAACCCGTTCGAGAAAATTCCACAGGAGTCGAAGGGGATTTTGTTGAAGAAAGTGTGTGCGAAACCTGTTGGATACATGGCTTGCATTGAGTCTGTCTACGCCTAGCTGTTACGCTGCACTTTTCGTCAGCCGCGTTGTCTTTCTTCTCCCTACGGCATGTGCTGAAAGTCTTCGTGGCGGGTGGGGGAGAAAGAAGAAAACCTGCTGGGTACAGCACCGGCATTATTGTATGCACGTCGAGTCTGCTCAAGCCTGCAATACACTGCTGAACTTTTTGCCAGCCATGTGCATCATTTCTTGCCTCTCTCTTTCTCTTTAACTCTCTCTCCTNTGTCTCTCTCTCCCTCTCTCTCTCCCTCTCTCTCTCCCTCTCTCTCTCTCTGGTCTCTCTCTCTCTCTCTGGTCTTTCTCTCGCTATACCTCTTCGCAGACCACGGGCACGTGGTACGCAGTCCCGAACGGTAGCGAAAGGTCTTCTTCGGGCGCCGGCGCCGCCGTCTTGTTCCCCCCCCTCTCCCGCTGCTGCTGCTGCTGCTGCTGCTGCTGCTGCTGCTGCTGCCGCTGCTGCATCCCGTTCCCGTTGTTGGTGTTGTTGTTTTCCCACCGCTCCCCTCCTTGCCGCTCCCTCGTCGTAGCCGTCTCGTCATCCGTGGCGCCTTCTCCTCCTGCTCCTGCTCTGGGTCGCCGCTGCTCTTCCGATGCAAGCGACGCTGCGCTGTCTCGCGACGGTTCCGTCCGCTCTGCCGCAACCCCTCTCCGTTCTTGCTTTTCTCCCCCCTCTGCTTCCTCATTGCGGTGGGACCTGCGGCATCGGAAAAGAGAATGCACCGCCGCCGGGTGGGGTTTGATTGTGTTGCCGTTAACGTTGCTGTTGTTGCTGCTGCTGCTGCTGTTGCTGCCATCTTTACACTCTGGATAGGATCGATTGTGTTGTTGTTGTTGCTATTGTTGTTGCTATCTCTACACTCTGGTCTCCTCCCAGAAGTACCTTGTAACATCCGTACTAGTCCAACAAACGCGGACGCCTTCCTTCAGCGGTCACAACAGCAGAAAAGGGAGTTTTTCCCTGGAGTTTGGGCAGCTCTTGTCTTCTAGGTTTGAATGGCATTGCATGTTCAACAATGACAAGCTATATACCATTTTCCATGATAGGTCTCAGGCACGGAAGATGAGGTGCTGTGCGTAGACAGCAAATCGCAGCAATAACACTGGGCAGCGTGAACAAGGGTTGTTCACAGGGTCACAGAACACGTACATCGCAGTTCAACATCAAAACACGACCACAATACCGCGTATGATACAACATAACACGCCCCGTGCACCATTTTTCCGAGCTCAGTTTCGCCATGACGAAGAGGATGCATTAATGAAACAATACATTTTCGGACAGCTGTCGACAAGACAGCTTCAACGCCACCGTTTTCGGGACTGTGACTCTTTCTGTTGTTGAGAAACCGAGATTTGAATATTGGTCCAGGGGGTGTGTTATCTTGTGTCGTTCACGGTAGTTACTATCCCGCTTGCGCGTCTCGGTTGGTGCGATTCTGTGTGCGTGCGCGCGTGTTCGAGGGCGATCGATCCCACACCGGCGCCCTTCACGACCGAAAGGGAAGTTGGCGCGTAACTGTCAACCATGGTGCATGCGTACATACCATGTACGCGGCAACAACCATGCTGAAAACACAAGACACGTCGCACACGACAATCGCAGCGTCGAGATTATGTCCAAGGAGTTGCGTACCGGACGGCCTTCGCGAGGGCATTGATATTACAAGAGGGAATAGAGAGGGGGGTTAACGTAGCCCTCGCCCGATATCTAACCCACAATCGTCACCCCTAGTTACTAAAACCAAGCTTCAATATCCTCGCGAACGCTGCTGTACGTTCCGCAAACTGCTGCTGCTGCTGCTACTGCTGCTGATGGCGGGTTTGTTGTTGCTGAAAACCAAGCTCAATATATATCCTCGAGAAGGCTATCCCTGCTTTACATACCTCGAACTGCTGATGCTGCTGTTGCTGGGATTGTTGTTGCTGCTAAAAGCCCAGCTTTTACGCTCGCGAAGGCTCTTCCTGCTGTACGTACTTCAACCTGCTGCTGCTGCTGCTGCTGCTGCTGCTGCTGCTGCTGCTGCTGCAAAAACCAAGCGTCAATATCCTCGCGAAGGCTACTCTGTACGTACCTCAAACTGCTGCCGCTGCTGGGCCCATTGTTGTTGCTGCTGGCGCGAGTAGCCCGCCGTCGATCTCGCCGCTTCCGGGCGGCCGTCCTGCTGCCGGAGCCGCTCGCGAACGTGGCGCTGCTGCCGCCGCGGGCGACAACCATGCCCAGCGCTCTGCTGCTGCTGCTGCTGCTGCAGCTGCTGGTGATGCTGCAGCGGAGCATGCTGTCACCGGTGGCCGATACCGAATGCCGCGGCAACGTCCCACCGGCCAGAACCACAGCATGCTGGCGGCGATGACGATGAAACGATGATCCGGAAATCCACGCTGCTGAGTCGTCTCGAGTGCGGGTTTCTGATATCGGTGCCGCAAGACGCCTGCTGCCGCTCGATCGCGCCACCACTGATGCTGTACTTAACGCTGCGCTGGCGCCTGTTCTCGCCGCCATTGGCGCAGCTGCTAGGTGCCTCCCCGGCAACCAGGAGTGAAGGAACGAGGTTCGGTTGGAGCAGCCGCTGATGCTGCGGACGGCCGCCGAGGCCGGGGACGAGGCGGTCGAGCACCAAACAGCGGCTGTCACCATCATCGCCAGCCTACTCCTTCTTCTTGTTGTGGTGCCCCAGGACGCTGTCCCAACAGCGGCTCGTTCCGGCCTGGGCGCCAATATCGCCGGTCCTCGTTGCGCGTCTGCTGCACGATCAGGGACGGTGGCTGTGGTGATGGAAGGTGATCGGTGGGGCGGGTCGCGTCGGCTCCTGGCGTGGCTACGTGATCGCTTCATGAACGGCGGTGGGAAGAGCGTCGTTGCCGCAGCGCCCTTGTGGCAGCAACGGCAACAGCGGTGTCCGTCGAGCAATGCTGGGAGAAACAAACGCTATCCTACCCACAGGCTGTGCCAACACAGAGGTATCCTCAGGGAAGACGATAGCGGTAGATGGATTTTCTGCGCTTGCTGTGAGCCGCGCGATGGCGTTCGGATGTTGGACTGCCTGCGCTGCTGCTGCAGAGGCCTCTGACCGTAGCCTTCGGACAGAGGGAGCGTAGTGGAGCCTTCCCGAAACGGAAAGAGACTCGCCGCATTTTTAGTATGTCTTCCAATCTCTCTCTGTCCTCTCTACCTCTTCAAATTACTCTTGGGCATATCAAAGCCATCACCTTTGGGCTTTAGAAGGCGTTGCTGTCAGGTTGTCTTGTACCCAAATCTATTGCGTACCTACATGTACGACCCTCAACTTGTTGAAGTACTTTTTTTTCTGCATGTGCAACCCGCCATGTTCCTATGCGCGAGCCCCCCTGGCGGAGGTTAGGTGGGAAGGGGAGTTTGTGAGTTTTGCGGTGAATATTTACTGGGTACGCGACACAAGTTGAGACGCGCGTCTACGATAGCAGTACGACGATAACACCGACCGGCTGCTGCGGGCCCTAGATACTGTTAGAGCCAAAGGGGTGCTTGGGAAGAAGTCCCGTCCTCCGACCTGCTGCTGCTGCTGCTGCTGCTGCTGCTGTGCACCGGACAGAGCAGAGTTAGTTGCAATACATGTCTCGACTGCGCGAGACCGCAGCGCTGGAGGGCCACACGGAGCGAGTGTGGTGCGTGGCTTGGTCGCCGGACGGGAGACTGCTGGCTTCCTGCAGCAGCGACAAGGTGGGCCATACGAGATAGCGCACAAGCGCTCGCACCGACGGTATGCATACCATTAGATTCAAGTTCCACCGCATTCTGCTCCCAATCGGCTCATGTGACGACCAGGCCGGCAACAGAGTTGTTTGGCTTCTCTTCGTCAAGTGGCACTCGATCGTTTGCAAACGTTCGCCAATTGTGTTTCTCTCCCTACGATTTGTCGGCGGGAATATTTTGCTGAAAATGTACTCCCATCCTCTCTCCAACTACTGTAGCTACCCATCCATATCTGTGCTTCATCACAATCCACCTCGCTCTTCCTCTCCTTGTCCCTCCACCTCTTTCTCTCTCTCGTCCTGCGGTGGACATCCCCAATGCTGTGTTCCTCGCAACAATACACCCAACTCACGTGCGCGGCGCCTCCCAGACTATCCGAGTCTGGTGCCAATCCAAGGACAGCGAAAAAGGCTGGCGCTGCGCGGCGCTGCTAGAGGATGGGGCGACGAGGACGGTTCGTTGCTGCGATTGGTCTCCCTGTGGTAAGCTGATGACGATACTATTGCTGTTGCTGTTGTCGTTGTTGTTGTTGTTGTTTTGAAAATCAACATGAAAACACAGTCGAAAGGGATGGCCTGGTTCTCTCTGTCATATGGTTGGGACGAGGTCACACCGACGTGCCCATCGTCAAAAAGGTTGCAGATGGGCATTCGTGCGTGGAAATACGAGGAATTGTCATCGAATGGCACTGCTGCTCCGTCGCAATCTATACCCTACCAACACTCGCCAACCTCGCCCCAAGAGGGGTTGGATGTGCTGGAAGTCTGTTCAGTGAGTGGAGTTGTTGTTGTGGTTGTTGTTGTCAACGCTGTCGTGGCTGTTAGAAAATGGTGGTAGTGATACTGTTGATGCTGGTGTTGGTGTTTGTTTTGTCTTTGTTTTGTCTTTGTTGTTGCTGCTGCTGCAGGTGGTGGTGTTGTGGCTGCTGCTGTGTTGTTGCTGCCGCTGCTGTTGTCGTTGTCGTCGTTGTCGTGGTCGCTGTTGTCGGCGTTGATATTTCCGCCGTTGTGTGTTCTCCGGTTCCTGCAGACTGAGATACGCCGTGACCCTTTCTGCGACGACTTTAGACTAGGTGAGGCAGGATACCACAACCCCTTGACCGAATTCAATTCCAACCCCTCGATTTCTCCATAACGAAGAGGATGCACGCATGAAACGATACATTTTCGGAAAGCTCTCCACGAGACGGTTCCCACACCGCCATTATCGGCACTTCTTCTCGTTTTGCTGTGGAGAAATCGAGGCGCGAATTGGTCCAGGGGATTGTGATATCCCTTGTCACTCATGTACGGTGTCAATAAGTCGGCCTTGCCATGGACGCGAAATCCGTCAAAATATCCGCTCGGGCAAAACGTCTGCTGCAGTGGCGCGGCCTGTTTAGCGCCGGTTGAGTAGCGCGGGTGCCCGATGTATAGTGCCGGTTTTGTTCGGCGGGCCCAGACTGAATCACCGAGGTCATTCCGTACTTCGCGACTGTCTTGTATCTAGAAAAGTAGCGCCGGTCGACTATCTCGGCGCTAGCTTCAACAGGGACCTCAACTGCATTTGTTTCTTCGTGATGGGTCTCGTCACCGTATACCTGGTACCAGGGAGGTTCATCGCCGCCGTGTCATTCGATGGCACGTGCTCCGTGTGGCGGCGGCAGGAGTCGACCACCACTGCGGGCGAGCTGGCCTGGGACCTGACGGCGACGCTAGAGGGTCACGAAAACGAGGTAACAGCAGTGTAGTGTGTGTGCTATCGTCCTATGATTTATGGCGACAGTCCCCCCATTTTTCGTGGTGAGACGTGTGCTACACTCTTCTGTATGTAGAGTACTACACTTTTGAGTTTATTTTTTCGTACAACTACAACCATCCAGGGTCTCACAGAAGGAGGTAAACACCGGGGCTTTTTCCCTTCTTTTTCTTTTCATTTTCGTGCCCCACCTTCCTCCTGCGGTGCGTGCTGGTTTTTTGTTTTTATCGCGAGAAGGGTCCAGATGTCCCTTTCCCTCGTTGGCGGTGCTAGCGTCCAAGTTTGGTAATCACGAGACGAGAGCTTTTCAGTTTCGTTTCGCTTTCGCTCGCAAAGTTGTAAATTTTTCACCACATGGGGATGCGAACTCACCACTTTGCGATTTATAGCGGTTTCGATGTTACCACTAGACCACCGGGGCGACCGGTAGTGTAGTGATCCCGGTATATTGCCATTGCGTGTCACGCCCACCTCTCCGGCATCGCACCGGGCACCGCACCGTTGCGGAGAGGGGGAGACAAGTTGAATATTCCGTCAGTGTCGCGCGATTCCACCGGCAGTATTCCGGGAGGATAGGGGTGGGTAGGGAGAGGGAACCCTTCTGTTTGACCGCGGGTTGGAGGAAACGGCACAAATGCTGCGAGCGCTGATTTGAAGAAGTGAAGACAACAAAGGCTAAAAAAATTCGGGCACCCGGCACGAGGTACTCGGGAGAATAAGACAACTTGAATATCCCATCTGTGTCACGTGTTCACCGGCATTATTACTGGTGGGCGTGTTTTCGCCCTGTTCATTCTGGCGGCAGTCCCCCATTTTTCGTGGTGAGACGTTCAGTGCAGTACTACTCTTGTAGCTATTGTTCCGGGCACCGGGCATTATATCGAGGTTATTGCTACACGAACCTGGCCAGGTGCCTACCGAGAGTATGTGATTTGTAAGCCCACTCTGGAGTGCGCTTGTGAGAGCACAGTGCCATCAAGGGGTGTAATGGCGAGATAAAATTTTCAGGCGGACAGGACCAACCCACTGCTGGCTGCCATCTGCGCTGTGACGTTTCCCAAGCTCAACAGCTCACACAGCAACTGACCGTTTTTCGACTCACACAGCCCACGAAACTTGTTTGTTTTTCAACGAACCTAAAAAAAAGGAGCAACCTGCATACAGTCTTACACCTCTTGCTGGCCGCTAGGTCGAGTGACGAACCACACCATCAAAGTTCGCTGCTAAAATCCTTCCCTCGGTTGTTCCTACGTGCATTTGCAGTGATTTGTGCTTTTTTTGAGTGAATGCCCATTTGCCACGAAACTCTGTTGGTGATATCCGCGGCATGGGGCGCTATCCCGGGTCCGACACACACAAAAGTTCTTTTCGCACCGCCTCTTTTGTTTATGTAACCGTGACTGTCATTGTATATACTGAGTATACATGTTCTTATGGTTGTTGCCTTTCTGCGCTTTTGCCGTGACACTGTTTTCTCATGTACAAAGCGTGTTCCCCTTGCAGCCCTTTTTTTGTGACATCCGCAGCATGGGGTGCTGTCCCGGCTCCAACACACAACGTGATTTAGCACCGCCTAGGTGAAGCAAGATATCGCACACCCTTGACCGTTTTTTGTTGGAGCTCGATCTCTCAACAGCGGGGAAAAAGTGGCAACGCCGAAGACGGCGGCGTTGAAACCGTCTCGTCGTGGAGAGCTCTCCACAAGCAAACGTTCGGTGTGTCCATCCTCTTCGTCGTGGAAGAGTAACCGGGCTTTGAGAATCGGTCCAGGGGGTGTGATATTTTGCGTCACCTACTTACGGCATCACCGCCCCCACTTAAGAACCTCTAGCTTTGGCCGGGGGAGGGGTTCCGAGTTCCTGGAGTTATGTCAACAGCAGTCGCTATATAGGTTTTAGGGTCGGTCTTGGTTCCTTACCGGGCTCACAACAGTTGCTCAAGTTCTTTCAGATTTGAAGCCTTTTCAGGCTTTATCAATTTCATCCATTATCTGCCAAGTTCTTAAGTGCTCAAGAGCCTCTAGTTTCGACCGAGGCTAAGGTTCTCAGTTCCTCTGGAACGCTACTACAATGGCCGCCATAATACAGGTAGTTTTTTTCTGTGGGGTGTTCTCAACCAGGCTCGTTCTCAAAAGCTTTTCGAGGCCGTATTAATTGCTCCTAGCTCCCAAGATGTTAAGTCCGGGCACCAACTGCAGCCGTTGTCCCGCTTTCTTCAGAGTGTTCCATTCCGTTTTTTCTTCGGGTCGGTTAAAGTCCGGGCGCTAGCTGTAGCCGTTGTTCCGCTAACTTCGGAGTGTTCCGTTCCGTTTTTCCTTCGGATCGGTTCACGTCCGGGCGCTAGCTGTAGCCGTTGTTCCGCTAGCTTCGGAGTGTTCCGTCGTTTTTCATCGGATCGGATCAAGTCCGGGCGCTAGCTGTAGCCGTTGTTTCGCTGGCTTCGGAGTGTTCCGTCGTTTTTCCTCGGATCGGTTCAAGTCCGGGCGCTAGCTCTAGCCGTTGTTCCGCTAACCTCCGAGTGTTCCGTTCCGTTTTCCTTCGGATCGTTTGGTTGTGGCAGGTCAAGAGTGTCGCGTGGAGTCGCGGGGGCAACCTTCTCGCCACTTGTGGACGGGACAAGTCTGTCTGGATTTGG